GACTACGTGATGGCGTATGGTTATAGCAATCGCCCTTGAAAGCGCTTCACGTGATATTAAGATATATAATTTTTCTTTCTTCGTGAAAAATTGTTTGACATTTTTCTTTCTTTCTTTATAAAAAATTACTTGACGAAAGGAATCAATTATAATTTAATTATAATTATAATTAAGTTTATTGAAGAAAGGAGCGATATTTACAATGGCTGAATTGAGTAGAAAAGAACCTGATTACCATTTAACCGTGTTATTTGAGGGATACCTGTATTATCTAATAAAATTGAAGTCATTTTTTTTAATGTAACATTGTTTTGTACTATTGAATAGTACGGTAACGTCTATTTGTATTAACAATTTTATGTTTTTTGAAAATGTAACTTAAAAGGTTTTCAAGTTATGTAATAACTACAGGCTATAATACTAACTTCTTCAATTTCAAAAGTTTCATTTAAAAAATTTGTTTGTGCATGTAATTTAATTAGTTCTTAAACAGAGTATTAAGTAAAATTTTAGAACATTAACTTCTTCAGTTTTTCAAGCTTATCCATGTATTTATCTTAATCAGTTTTTAAAGAGAGTAATAACTATAACATATATTTCTGCAATTTTTTTAATTTATCTATGTATTTAACTTAATTAGTTTTTGAACAGAATAATAAGTATAATTTATGATATTATCTTTTTCAATTTTTTAAACTTATCTATGTAAAAGAACTGATTATTTCAAGCAAAATAACATGTAACATATAATCTTCTTCGATTTTTTTAAACGTATAAATTTTGTAATATAATATTTCCGTGGGTTCTATATTCTGCGTATGTAAAGGGTTAAACAATTATGTGAATCTTATTATAGTGAAGTCTCGATATAAACGAAACGCTTGAAATCACAAATAAATGCACAGCAATTTTAAAATATTAACGAAAACGTTAAATAAATTTTTTGAGGTTATTATTTCTCTACTAATAATTGCCACTATTGTCTACTTCACTATGTTTATACATCACATGAGCATTATTATAGAACTGATTAAATAATGCGTATTTCAAATTATTGTATTAAACCGAATGGCAATTGAGAGGCACCTCTCGAGCGCAAAGGGTTAATTTGATTTAAATGCACTTTTGACCCCTTTATCCGACTATGTCTTTTAAGATTAGTGATTTTTACGGATTTCATGAATGTAGCGTTAACGGGAAATAAAGAAACGGAAGGAATGATTGAATCCGTGTGGGAAGATCGGGATGCGTTTTCACTTGAGCTGAAAAATCGCCGAGCGGAAGAGGTTGGGCGTGCAAGAAAGTTCCTCATCGTCCAGCCGTGCATAAGACAATCGCGACGCGGAGCAATTAAGCCACGGCCCACGCTTCATTTTTCCTTCTATTCAAATCCCGATCCTCTTCCGCGTCGATATAATCTGAAACGATTCTTCTTTTCGAGTATTGTGTTCGTATTACACTTTCCATGATACTGTTATTACATTCCTATGAACTTTTTTTATGTATGATTGTATGGTTCATGATAAATACTACTTTTGTCATTGGACATGGGATGTGAAAGTTAGCAAACTGCTAAATACTAAATTTTCAGCTCTTTTTAATTTCTCAATTTTCGGTACCTAATTTCATAAATTACCAAATTGAGAATTGGTTGATTTTTAAATACACAAATTTTTAGGTGTTTAATTTAAAACTTATGAAATTTTCAAACTTTTTAATTTCTCAATTTTTAAATTTCTAACTTACCAAATCTTACTAACTTCTAACTTACCTTCTAAATTACCAAATTTTCAAATACCCATAGCCTTAAAAGTCTACATCCTCAAATTTCAAAATTCTCAATTTCCAAACTTCTACAGGTTTTAACATTCAAGTTTTCAAGTTTCCATATTACAAAATACTCAAATTTCCCAATTTTCAATCTTACAAATTTCAGACTCTCTAAATCTCCAAAAATTCAAATTTTGAAATTCCGAAATCTTCAAAAATCTAACTGCTTAAATTTCCAATTTTTAAGTAGTAAAGTGGCAGTATATGAAGATAATGAGATACTAGTACAGTAGAATAGTGAAATAGTAGAGTACTTAGATAATAATATACTTTCATGGTAGAATTAGCGGAAAGGTGGCACTATAGTGAATAAAATAGAAGAATTGTAGAGGAATGTATAGTAATATAGTAACATGATCATATTGTAGAATTAATAAAATACGAATAATTTAGTATAGTAGAATAGTAGTACAGTAAAATTGTAGTATGGTAGAATAGCACTATTGCATCATTGTATTAAAATAGTAGCATAGTAAAATAGTTGTTAGGTAAAATAATAGAATAGTAGTACGATGGAATAGAAGTATAGTAGTATACTAGTATTGTACTACACTCGAATAGCAGAACAGTAAAAAGTAGTATAATAGAATGGTAGTATTATAGTACTAGACTAGAATAGCAGAATAATAAAACAGTAGTATGATAGAATAGTAGTATAGTTGAATAGTGGTACGATAAAATAGTAGTGTGGCAGTATAGTTGTATACAGTATTCACTCCGTAAATGTTACTTTTGCCGGTCTCGATTGTAACATTTACGGTAGAGGTACTACATTTTTTGTAGTGTGCCGAACGTAGAAAGACACAACGATACAAAAGACAAGAAGGGATAGAATTTTAAGCGTTCGGCAAACATGAAAGACTCGTGCGTGTTCTGTCTTTTAAATTTAAAAATTAAAATTCTTTATTTTTGGTTTTTCGTCAATGGAACTTTTACCATCGTATTTGTCTCGTTTTTCTGATTAAAATAACACCAAATACGATATGATTACGATCGTAATTACTTATGTAACAAGCCATAAAAGTTTGGGATGTAACATTTACGGTAGAGGTGCGAATTACTTCTAAAGGCTTGCTATACAAGTAATTATGATTTTAATTATGCCGTGTTTTGTGTCATTTTAATCAGGAAATCTAGACAAATACAACAGTAAAAGTTTCATGAAAAAATAGTAAGAAATAAGAAAGTTACAATCTTTTCCTTTGCTTGCATTAGTATGTGTCTCACCGATATTCGATCCTCGTCGTTTCGGCGACCGATAGTGTTTCATTCTTGACTGATTTCGAGGGGGATCCCCCCAGTAGTGGGGATAGAATTTTAACACTTACGGTAGAGATCTTTTTAACATTTACGGAGTGAATACTGTAGTACTCCATTACTATAGTAGAATAGTCAAATAGTAGTGTGATTAAATAGTAGTATTGTAGTATAGCAGTATAGTATTACTTTAGAATAGCAGAACAATAAAGCAGTAGTATGATAGAATAGTAATATAGTTGAATAGTGGTACGACAGAATAATAGTATAGCGGTATGGTTGTATAGAACTCCACTACAATAGTAGAATAGTCAAATAGTATAGAATGGTAATATAGCAAAATACTAGTATATAATAGTAATATATAGTAGTAGTAGAGTATAGTAGTATAGTGTAATAGTACAAATAATAGTAAGTAAATAATAATGCTAAATAATAATAGTAAAATATAGTAAGTAATAGTTGTAAACTATTTTGTATAACGATTCTTCATCTCGACAAAGGTTAACATTGTGACAAAAGCTTCTCAATAATTTCCATAATTAAAAATAAGACAAAGATCCGGTATTTCGACCCGATTCATAAATCTAGTTCTCCCATTACTACTAACAGTCTTGCCATATTCGATTTTCAATTCTCTATTCATTAATGAGTTCACTTACGGTATAATAAAAATATAGATCGTAATTATTATTAGCTTCATTTAGAAAATCGATCACAACACACGTGGGTCGAACCCTTTCATGCATCCTATCGACTGACCCTATATGTCTTCCGTGGGTGTCGTCTCGGACCCATCCGTTGTAATTACACGAGGTTATTTATTAGTCACGGTTATTAGGTAGACAACTAGCAACGTTCTCGATCAATTGAATCGTTTATTTTAGAAACGATAGACCGGTAAGATTGAACTTACGACTGCTAATTAATTTTAGTGGTAAAAGTACCTCTCCATCGGTATAAAACCATTGTTTAAGAAATTTTTAAAGAAAAATGCGAAATTAAAAATTAAGATACATTAAAAGGAACTTCCACATTCAAATTTATTCTGAACTTTTCAACATTTGTTTTTATTACGTCTACTTTGCATTTTGATTTAAATTTTGATTTTGGTAAAGATTTATAAAAATTATGCGTCAAATATTATTTCACCAAATATGTACACATTTTTAACGTGGTATTGACAAATAGAAGAAGTTAACTATTTTGTTTAGTTAGTAATAAAGAATTTTTCAAGTCGAATCTCAAAAATTAATTTATGTACAAAGGATCGTTCAATTTTATAAGAGTTCAAATTGTATCAAACATTTTTTAACTTGAAATCACGTCGTTTACAATATCCTGAAGAGAGAGGTAAAATACTAGAAAACACCTACTTCGAAAAATAATTCAAACCGTTTCAAACAGTCTCAAACTTCTTCAACTTCATCTCAAACTTCATTAAACTTACAATCATAGTATATAAAATATTTAGAACATACAAAGTACTTCAAGAAATAATGAAAATTATGTCAAACTTCTAGTTGTGGCATATGTAATCTTCAGAGCAAACAAAGATACCTTGAGAAATAATTTAAACTGCCTCAAACTTCAAATTATGGTGTACAGGATACTCTGAACATAAAATATTAAGAAATGCTTAAACCAAAAAATAATTCAAACTGTTTCAAACACCTTCAAACTTTGAATCGCTGCGTACAAAATATTTAGAATGCAATATACCAAAAAATACCTATTTTATGAAGTAATCCAAACAGTATGAAACTGCTTCAAACTCAGAATTACAAAATATTGAGAACATAAAAAATAGTTTAAAAAATAATTCAAACTTCTTCGAAGCACGAATTATGAGGTACAAAATATTCGGTACATGTAACGTTAAGAAATGTGTGTATTTAAAAACCAGGACTTACCACATCGCCTGCACCGATACCGGCTTGAAGATGTGCTGCCGACCGCAAACGCTGACGCTGAAGCCTCTGTAACAGAAAATAAGAAAAAACGAATGAGAAAAAGAAGTCTAAGGGAGCATTGAGGGTCACACCACCGTTCACCTTATACAGGGTGGCCAACTGATCGTATCGACGAGCTATTTTATTGGCAGCCGAAACAGACCTCAACTTCCCCGTTCTGTTCGGCTGGTGGCTATTTTCGAGCACGGTTAGCCTCATACGTACATTTTCGCCCAGTTCGTACAGCAACGTTTCGTTCTATCGAAGCGTTCCATTTTTGGTAACAGGTGTCAAATACTGTTTCACCAATGTTATTTGTCAGTTGCCAAAGCTTTGATTTAAGTCACTTTTACTAAAGATAGACTTCGAGTTTATAATTGTTTCCTAAGATGATCTCAGAGCGTTTACCAGCTTTCTTTTCTTTTACATCACGTATAATTGTTTCCTAAGATGGTCTCGTCAGAGCCAGAGAAAATCAGAGAATTTTCTGATTTTCTTCTTTTTCACGTCACATGATATTTATAGCGTTAATTTGATGCTTTACTGATTACTGCATCAGCTGAAACTTTTGCTTTTCAGATTCAATTTTATGACTTCTAAATTTTTAATTAAACTTCACATCATTTTTCATTAATTTGATATGTTTCTATTTCTTTCAGGTTTCTGTTATTCTGTCGAACAATACATCGTATGGGTTGTACTGAAGATGATGCAACGTATGCGTCGTATAACATTCATTCGATTACAGCTGATGATGCTTGTTGTAGGTTTTACTGCAAATCGTTTACCTTAATAACATATTGTATACATCCTATAACGAATCACTATCGATGACGCACCGTATGTGTACTATAATAATTATATTGTATGACAGATAAACTATGATAGATGAACTATACAATTTTAGGACACACCATGTGCGTACACACCATATCACAAATCCGTGTACTTGATGACGCACCGTGTGCGTACTATAATAAAAATTATATTGAGTGACGCACCCTATGCGTCCTATGTTAGATGCTCTATACTTGACGACGCACAATATGCGTCGTATCACAAATCCATTTATTTGATGACGCACCGAATGTATTCTATGATACCTTGTATGCGATGATACATTATATGCGTCGCACGACACAACTTATACATCTTATAATAAATTTATATTATTTCTTGACGTGCCATATGTGTTCAACATGCTTGTATTTAATAATGTATCATATGCGATCTATAATATATGTATCTATTCTTGATGACGCATCATATGAGTCAGTCGAAAGAATATTACGTCATTAAAAGTTATCATAATCGATAACTGTACTCGATGTCGCACCGAATGTGCGTCAAAGTAGATCACTGTCTCTGGATGCAACTAATGCTTCATACAGTACATTGTTGTATTCTCGCGCGGAAAACAACCTACGATACAATATTGTATTCGAACACTGAATGTGTCTTATAGTAGATTGTCGCATATTTCGATGTATCGGATGCGCCATACAATGCATCATTTCATTTAATGTTACGGTGAATACAACCTATGATATATTGTATCTGATGACGCATCGAATGTGTGTACTGAATTATACCTCGACGCACCGGCTGCGTCATATCGTAGGTCAATGTATTTAATGACGCACCGACTATGACGATGTATTTAATGATGCACCGATGATACAATATTGTATTCGATGACGGACTGCATGTGTCATACAACAGAACATTGTATTTAACGACACATCGAATATAATCTAAAATATAATATTGTATTCGATGACAAATCAAATGTGCTCCACAGTGAATTATACCTCGACGCAGCAGGTGCGTCATATCGTAGGTCTATGTATTTTACGATGAATCGACTATGACCATGTATTTAATGATACACCGACGATATAATATTGTATTCGATGACGGACTGCATGTGTCGTACAACAGATCATTGTATTTAACGACACATCGAATGTAATCTGTAATATAATGTTATATTCGATAACGCACCAAATGTGTCCCATAACAGATTACTGCATAAATCGACGCACCAGGTGTGTCATATAATCGGTCTTGGTAATTTAATTTGATGACGCGTCATGTATCATACAGTCGATTACTTCATTAATGAGTGCGTGTATAATGTGTGAAGTATCATAAATTATTGATCGACGAACCATTATATTGTCATACAATATAATGACACACCATATGCGTCCTACAATAGCTCAAAATTTTCGAAAATTCTAAATATTCAATTTCCTAAATTACCAAGTTCTGCAATGTCCTAAACATCTAAAGTTTGATGTTTCCAAATTTTTTAATTTACTGAACCCATGAATATACTCAAATTTTTATATTTCCAAAGTGCTCAATACCTAATTTTACGTATGTCTAAATATATAAATTCCATTTAAACATTTCTATATCCATAAATTCTGAAAATTCATTCTCTCAAACTCTCAGAATTCTAAATTCTCGAATTCTCAAGTTTTCAAATATAACAATGTACAAAAATTTGAAAATTTAAAAATTTCTAAGATTAAACTTAGCATCTTAAATTCCAAACACGGATACAATATAACCAATAAACTCTAAAGTTGTTATACATGGTATGTCCTGAAAGTAATGTCAGTAAGTCGATTAAAAATCATTAGACATCGATGCAGTTGTGCGGTTGTTTTTGAAGCGAGCGCGAATAGTGATCGTTTTGAATTGGTTGCGAAGACAATTGTAATAAATAATTTATTCATTCGTTATTAAGATTTCATGAATTACGGTTGTATTCTGAACATTATTAAATCCTGATATTATATTTTTAGTTCCGTTCTTTTATTTTTCGTCATCTTCTTACATTAATTTTATTTTTAATTTCAAAATTAAGTACACATTATATGTAGGTAGGCTTAGTGTTAATTTTTTTCTAAAAAGTAATGATGTTCAGAGTTTTCTTATTTCACGTCTAAGAAATCAGTCTTCTAGACCCAATATTTTGATTTGCTAAAAATCGCAGCGACACTTCACGGACTAAATATGTTTTACATTTTAAAGCACGTTTTATTTAATTTGACGCATTTTTGAAGTGTCTGCCAAATTTCGGTAGTTTCCGCCTACTATGCAGCGTTTCGCCGTATTTCGCGAGATACCGACGTGTTAACCGAGGGAAGCGCAGCGAAATGGAGCTTTGACCCGACGAGATGGCTTTGCCAGTGGCAGGCCGACCTTCCCTGATGACCTTGGTGCTCACCTGTCAAGCACCTTGCTCGAACGCGTGGCTTACGGTAACGCGCTCCATTTCCCTACGCCCGTGTGCTCTGGCGGGCAGCAAAGAGAGCGGTGCTGCTGACCTTCGCAGTGTTCACCTTTCCACATGGTGTTTCTCGATCTGCGCTCGATGTACCGTTTCCAGCCGCGTTTTATTCACCTAATTGCTGCGTGCTTCGCTAATGACTCACCGTGATCGTGATGGGTTGAAAGGAGCCGGACACCGCGTGGATAGAAAGCACGCGTTCGGGGGCTGGGATTTTTGCGAAACCGACGAAACTTGCTTTCAAAAGCATTGCTAAATCTTGCGTTAGGAGAGTCAAGGGTTAATTAATTACATGACTTTTCTGAACCTCTTGCTTAACGAACTATATTCAGTTATTTTATGAATTTTATACGTTCTGTGTTTGTTCGTAGGAATTTTAGTCATTTTTCAGGTTTTCTGAAACAGGTTTCAATTCAGTATCATGTTTATAGAATAAATTTAATTTATGTCTTTTGTTATTATGCATATATTATACATATATGATACTATTTATGTTATTTGTACATGATATTATTAATAGTATTACATGTTATATAGTATAATTCATATTATTTATATAATACTATACAACACTGTTTATGTCATTTATATGATGCTTTGTTTGCTATGTTTGCTATACTATGTATGGTTTCAATCTTTTTGGATACCTTGTACATACTCAAGTTGAGAAATTTGGGAAATGTATATAATTTAGATAATTCATAAAATTTAAAAAATTAAAAAAAAAATAAATTCATAAAATTAAGAAAATTTAATAAGTTGATGAAATTTGTATAATTTATTTAAGAAATTTAGAAATTTGAAAATTTGTGTGTTTGGAGATTTGAAAATTTGGGAAGTTTGAGAGTTAAAAGTTCAAAAATTTGGAAGTTTAGGAAGTCTAACAGTTTTAAAAGCTTAGAGCATTTGAAAATTAAAAACTTTACTTATATCATCTCTTGAAACCGAAAGTAATTGATACTTAACCCAGCAAGCGATGAGAAAGTTAATAAAAATAACTACTAAAATATTATAACCAATACAGCTCTAATTTTACACCTTCCCCTTTAATTAACAGCCCTATATAACAATTTTAATCAAGCAACGCCTATCTTACCAGATACGAAAATTAAAACAAGCTCCAATTAGACTTTAAGTATCAATTACCATTTATTGCCAATCACGTACTATTTTCACTGCACTATTAAATAAAATTGTCGGAAGTGTGTACAAAAAGTCATGTCGGTCATTACGCTGAAACTCAGCGAAAGGTTCAATCGTGGGACAGATTTGTCCGCCAACGTTTTTTATTCAACACAGAACAGAGGATAGTTATCTACCGGAGAGAAAGTGCAGAACTATCCTGCCGCGGTAAAAATCTGATAACCTGTAAAATCTGCCCACTTTCCCTGCACCACGAATCGGCAATAAACGAACAAACAGGGATCGATCGAGGAATCGAGAGGCTGAGTCGATCAGATTGAAACTTCGAACAAGGAAGAGGCTGATGCGGAAAGAAAATCGACTACCTACGCTACACTAACCTACGAAAGTGCTATTTTTACGCTAAAAATATAGTAATCGACGTGTTTTTATTAGTTTTATTCGTGTACGTTGTTTAAATTTCGTTACTGAAAAAATGGGTAGAATAGAAATATTTTTAGTCATTGAAATTATACATTTTTTGTAATAACGATTATTTGTTCGAATAACGATTTGTTGAATCGACAAAAGATTTCTGTAAGTACAGTTATAATTGTGTAATTGTTAACGTTAGAGTTTCATTGTTAAAGTATTTATTGAAGGAAAGTAAAAAATAAGAATGCACAAGTATACCGTATATATTCTTAATGCGCATGCGCCGTATGTTCTTTGCGCATGCGCCGTATATTCTTTGCGCATGCGCGTTACATATCTCTAAGGAAAACATTTCGAAGAATTGTCATATTTACTTTTATTGTAAACGAAATCAAATATGAAAAAAAACATTATTGCTTCATTTTTCGATTTATTTTTGCGTACAGAATCATCGTTTGACCTTGTCTGCTGCTAAACTATTTATTCTTTATACATATTCAAATAGAAACTTAATATTTAAAATTATTTATACACGTCTACATAAAAATTTATAAATTTCGTAAACTAAAAAGAAATAAATAAGAAACATGGAATCAAATATAGAAAATAATATACAGATACGATAAAATGAAATGTCCATTCAAATTAAAATTGAAAATAAGTTAATGTAACATGAATAAATAAGTGTAAATACTCGGGAGAGATTTTGTTCATCAAAATTAGTGACGAAATTAGTGTTCATTAAATTTGTTGCTAATACCAAAAATAATTACAATAACATTTTCATCTAAATTTGCTGACATTGTCTTTTATATGAACGCGCATTTGTTAAAATAAAAAGCGAGTATTAAAGAATGACACTTATAGATCTTTTTGTCCCCACTGTTCGAATGATATACGATAAGAATGCAGTTTACGATAAAGCAGCAAGTAGTATAGATAGCAAAAACACGAGGACAGCCTGGAGACACAAGAAGAAATTCGAAAATAGCCGACATACCCGTCGCCGTCCAGAGTAATGGCAGTGTCGGCCAGAACTCGAAGTACAAGACCAACGGTCGCCCTAGCGTGACAATCGATACCGAGAAGGCAGCTCTCCTCGGCATCCTGCCTTCCGGTGCAGGACACTACGACCAGGTATCTCGTCCTTCCTGGATGCACCGACTCCAATTTCACCGCCTGAAATCAGAACGAAGAATCCTTTGTTAGAAATTTCTCACTTTTTAAATTTACATATTGCCTTCCATATTTCTAAATAGTACACAAGTTTCATGGCTGTTTGTATATTTCTGAAATTATAAATTTTAGAATTTTTATATTGTTTGGTTTTGAAGTTCTGAAATTTCTGAATTACCAGATTTCTAAATTTTGAAATATGGAAATTTAAAAATGATTTTTTTCAAATCTTATATTACTCAATTTCAGAAATTGAAAAATTTGATGATCATCAAATTGTCTACACTTAACTGATAATTCGAAATCCCAACAGTTTTGGCAATTTGCATTCAAACGTAAAGATGTTAAAAGACACCTTTCGGTCGAAATAGGTATACACAAAATTATAGTAGAAATAGTGTTAAACGAGTCTATTACACTTCCAACATTCTGCAGAAAGATAACGAGGAATTCGTTCGAGACGAACGCGTTACAAGCTACTCAAGATGCAACATTTAAGCTCAATGAACGGTAACGAGGAAACAGGAAGAAAGTGGCAATAAAGACGTCGCCATCGAGGTTCTCCTGATTCGATCTCATACACTTGACCGGAGATCATTATCGTGAAGTCATCTTAAAACGCCAAACAAAAGTTGTCCGAGGTTAATGACACTGCCGACAACTGTGGTTGCACAACCGTAACGTTCTCGCTGTTTCCGTTTCACAGCTGTTTCCTGCTTTCCCATCGATATCGATATTCAACCTCGCTCTCGAAACATTCGATTGCCAACTTTCTTCGTAATGGACTGCATATTATCGAAATTTTCGCTAGCAATCTACACGGTTACTTTCATTCTTCACGGAATGCAATAAAATTGAATTTGCAATCGCAAATTGTTTTCAATTACTCGTTACTTGGAATAGTATGTTAAAAAATGATTAATTCTGAAATTTGATTTAATTCAAATTTAAGTGTGATATCAAAATAATTGATGTATGTAGAATTATGATAAAAAATGGACGATTATAGTAATAATTACTGCAATATAATAAATTGTTATATAGTGTGGTTAATAATAATGTACTATAATAATTAATAATTATTATTAATTTTTTATGTTATGTACCATATATAGGGATTTATATTCTGCAAAATATATTATATATGTTATAAAACTTCAATTTTATACAATTTTATATATAATTAAAAATAATAATATATAGTATTAATATAATGATTAATAACAATTACTATACTATATAATAACGCTAACAATAGTAATATAATATTATATTTCTATTAGTAATTATATTATACAAGTATATTATTGTAATGTATCTGTAACAATAATAATATATGATTATATTATTAACAATAATAATATATGATTATGTCATTATATTAATTTTATATTATAATTAATTATTTATTGTTACTACTAAATATTATTACTATTAATTAATATAATTAAATATTGTTACTATTAATTAATATAATTAATTATTGTTACTATTAATTATAAGGAATAATAATTTATAAAGCTGTATAAAATTGAATTAATAAAACTTACATAATTTAATTTATACAGTATAAATTTCAACTTATATTTGCACACTTCAAAATAAAATTTTTGACTGAATCATAAAATGTATTTATCTGAAATATAAGTCCGAAATCTGCAACAAGCTTTTGAACATAATCATTTTTATTATTTAACAGTTATATAAAACAATAAATATTTAATACTTCGTTGAAGAAATAGGGAAAAAATATAGAAAAAAAGATTATAATATTAAAAGTAATTTAAGTTTGCAATTTATGATTAGATCTGACTAATTAAATTTTGATGCTAACATAAAAACAATGCTCGTTTAATTTTTATGTACTCTTTCATTTTTTTTTAATTAGGCTCTAGACAACATGAAAATGAAGTTTGACGAAATATTACTCTCGTGAAGTTGCTGAACATGGCGGTGAGCTCGGTTGTTGGGACATTGCACTTCCGGGCCCGGTAATTATCAACACTTAACCTTATTATGTGGTTAATTAGGTAACCCGCGTCTCCTTATGGGATAAATCATAAATTGCACCCGTTTCCTTCCGTGCTGTAATAAAGTGATTAAGTGTTGCAACACAAATATTCTTGCAACGTTATTAAATAATTTGTATACAATGCTATTATTGCATATAAATCGATTTTGTTCTTAAAAAAGTACTAAACAAAAAATAAACCAAAATAGAAAATAGAAAAATAATAGAAAATAATACAAAAATAAGAAAATTGAGAAAAATGAAAGATATAAAAAATATGAGAAAAATAAAAGAAAAAAGTAATACAAAAAAGACAGAAATAATGCAAAAATAAAATATGCTAAAAATTATTCTACAATCTTTTCGTACATTGAGAGATGATTATGATGAAAATTAACCTTTAAATAAATAAATTTTATTCAGTGGTATTTACAATTTGCTATTGAATTTAAAATCATTACGAAGCAATTTCAAATGAACGACCGAAACAGAAACCGCTAATTACAGTAATTACCTTTGATACTTTCAATTAATAACGATTTATTATTTGTAGATACATATTTGCAGCGCAGTAATTACAAATTCTAATTACATAAGCATTAATAAGTATCAGTAGAAAATCTTAATAGTAACAAATAAAATCAAAACTGTTCACTATGTAAATTACAAATTTTTATTCTTTTATAACTGTAATTTAAAAAGCAAATTCTCTTTAACTAAAGTTTCATTTTCACATTTAAATAAAATTAACAAGAAATATTATAAGACTAATTTAAGTTCTCTATTATTTCACAAATCTAAAATAATTTTACTATTTAAGAAATATAATATTAATAACAATAAAATTAGTTAATTACAATTAACTATATCATCATAAATATAAAAAATATCACTATATTTCATAATTGCTTAAGTCATTATGAAACAAATTTAAAAACGTTGAGTAGAGCAGTTGTTAAACTTATGTAGTCCGTGCACCCCTTCTTGAACATTCTTTTTGTGAACTCCACCCCATAATTAAACTTCTATTATTTATTCTTTAATTAAGTTAATAACTAGTTACGACAAATATAAAACGTCTTGACCGTGTAAAATTGTTATTAAATGAGTTATTTGAATAAAAGCGTTAAAATTGTAATTTTAATGTTAAAATTATTTGCTCTGGAAGTCCGCGAACCACAGTTTAAGAACCTATGGATAGAGCATTATACAATATTTTTGTGTATCTATATAAATATAGATACAAGTATTAAGTTATGGATAAATTTCTGTATAATTATACCCATCGTGTATTTCAAATTCTATCTACAGATATTAACCGACAAGTTGCCGCGTGAGATCGACCCAAAGTAACAGAAGGCATGTCTATCGCCACCGTGAACACTTCCAGTATTACATTTCAACAAATATGAATAATAACGACAATAACAGCTTCAGGCGTTTGTCGATTGTCATCGTTTTTCGCCTAATTGGTGCGTGACTGCTCGAGCCATTTGTTTATATCGTCAAAACTACGTGCGAGTCTAGACGTCCATTTTGCTATTCTGACGAATCGGAGCCGTAGCTGTTCTAAACACCTGGGCCAGTCTCTTCACACGCCAACTCGTGGGTTGACAACGGTATGTAGAGCTATAACATTTTGACTTGCTTTCGTTAACTGGGCTGCTCTCCGCCCACAGACCCCTCGTTACTTTCGACACTTTTAACAACTTCTGGTGCTTTTGGCCCATTTTAAGAAAGTTTGATTCTCTGACAAAAAGTCGTATCACAGTTTGGCCTGTACATTTTTATACGTGAGTGAGTGGTCGGAATGGAGTTCTACAGTATTTGGATACCTATCGATTTCAAATTATAGCTAATTTTGCTATTAAATTTTGATTAAATTAAAGATTCAAAGTAAGCAGAGATATTAACAAAATTGCTCTCAATTTTAATTATTGGAGTCGCAGTACTGATATTACGTATCATTCACCATAAAATTGTTAGCTCACCTGTGCTATCATTTCTACAGAATCACTCGTGCACCTTTTGCTCTACCTGTTGCTCGGTGGCACGTTCGAAGCACAAAGAGCTAACAAGAATCGGTAGCTCGAAAACAGAAAATTAAAACAGCTTGACATCGAGTCGAGAGATCGACTTCTCGTTGCCTCGCGCCGGTTTCGCGATCGATATCTCGGACCAGTTACACGATTGCGTTTCTCCTCGTGTTTTATCCGAGCATTACGCGCATAATCGCATGACATACAACGACCCACTTTGCTATCCCTGAACACTGACATGCGGCGAACTCTGCGAACAGAGAGCGTCCATGTTGCGATATAGCAGGGACGGGCATCAGGGCAATCGCATAAAGTAATGCGATACATTACGACCTGAACAAACAAAGTCAGCGTACAATTTATGGAAGATACCAGATCGAGCGATGCACGTGTATGACCCTCGTACTTTTGTATCCTCTGCTTAAATCAAGAATGACATTGCCCCAATCTCGAGAAGTAACGTCGAGATATTTGGATCGAAAAAAGGACATGTTGCTTAACAAGGTCATCGATTAATTGATATCGAGTGCCGCGTTGACAATCTTCGATTGTTGTAATATGAGCAGAACAAGTTTTTGAATTTATAGGTTGGCAAATTTAAAAATTGAGAAATTTTCGAATTTATTATATATTAAGGGATTTTCAAGTTTCCAAATATCTAAATTTTCGAATATATAAATTATAAATTTCCTCATTTCCTAAATTCTAATTTTCCAAATTCCCTAATTTCTGGGTTGCTAAGCTCCAATATTTTCAAATTTTTTAGGATCTAAATTTCCATTCCCAAAATCTAGAAATTTTTATTTTCTCAAATTTGAAGAATGATCAAATTTCCAAATATTGAAATCTTTGAACTCGTAGATTCTTAAATATTTAAGTAACCAAATATTCATATTTAAAACTAGACCTAAATTTGCAATCCGTCCCCACATTTTCCCCAGAACAGCGATTTG